TTATATATATATATATATATATATATATATATATATATATTAGTGTATGCACTTTGCGCGTGTATCCAATATTAAAGAGATAATCTTTTTTTTAAAAAAATAGCATAAATAATATTCAAAACATGTTTCTTCCTTATATAGCAAAGATTAACAAAAAAAGTTGCAAGTTCCTGAAAATAATAAATGTTAATCACGTTTAGGAATTTGAATCCATTTTAGTGGTTATTTCTCTAGCTTATAAGCTTATTCCAACAATTTCCCATTTTTTTGCCTGATTTATTATGTAGGTATCATGGTTGATTGGATTAAAAGTAATGGTATATAAATGAAAATAAAAAATTAGTAGTAACAGAAAACTAAAAAAAATCATTAATATGATTAAGATGAGAATAAATAAGCCGTGGATGATCGACTGATACATTAACCACTCATCAAAAGTAGGAATAGAGAAAATGACACTGTACAGCCGTTGTAAAAATAATTGCCGAAAAATGTATAAAATTTATATATTTTTTGTATATATATATATTTTGTATGTTATATACAAAAATTATACAAATTTTATACACTTTTTCGATTACCAAATATAAATAATTTCTGGCACAGACTAAAAGTGATAATAGCCCAAAGTAATATTCTTGAAACCAAGAACAAGAACAATGTAAGAAGCAATTTATGAAAAACAAATATACCAAAAACAAAAAAAAAGTCACATACACCGACAAAGCGAACGACATTAGATGAAATTTGGTTTCAAAGTCCATATAATTGGGTGAAGTCTTAAACGATTTGGTAACCTTTTATATTTAATTTTATAAATTTTTCACATAGTTAAAATAAGAAAACACTTTATAACCAAATTTTAGTGAATTTCAAAGTATTAAAAATTTGAAAAGCAATTAAATATCTATTTTAATTTGTCTAGCGTCAACACAATTTTAAAAAGGTAAACAAATACGAACGACATTTTTCTAAGAGTATTTGTGCTTTTAATATGCGCTTTGGGCGTGTTCTCTATATAAATGAATAAAATCACATAAATATTGTTAAACAATGTCTTTGACTTATACTATAAAAATTAAAGAAAACGGTATAAATTTCTGAAAATAATGAATGTTGATTTTATTTAGCTAATTTTGTAAAGAATTAAATTCTGGCCACAAAAATCCTTAGATGTTTTATTGTGATTTTCGAAAACTTATGTGAGAATATCTTATGGAAATTATTAATATTTATATGACCTAATTCTGAAAACAAACAAATAGCAAAATTGAATCTTTTCAGAGTTTGACATTATAGCTCATTTGACAATATTGATAATTGACAATTTAAAATCTAAAAATGACTAATGTTTACTTAATAGTTTACATCAAATAACTTGATGTACAAATCATAGAGTTGTCATTTAATGGAATAAAGACATAATTCATACCAAATAAATGTTAAGTAGTCTGGTCTCAAATATTAAAATGAATCAGATAAATTGAATAACAAATTACACTCAAACACCTACAAAATTTATACATGTCTCCCGACTAAATAAAACTCTTGTGTGCAATTCATATGTAAAATATACAAAAAATAAAATAATTTAATGATTGCAATTGAAATATTTGAATTCACCTATCTTTAATAAAATAAAGATATTAATCATCTCTAGTATGCACATTAAACAAAAAAGCTTCAATTTGATAAGAGCTAAAGTGGCAATCTCCAACTTCTTATATGCTAAACCAAAACAAGACAAGAGCTTTCAATGTAGGACATTCAATTAGTGTGAAGCTGTTGTGAACTTAACAATGTATCCATAAGTTGATTCAAACTTTTGTTAAGCCATCAGATTTTAAAAAATAAATCAAAATTTGACTACAGATACCGTTATTGATAAATACCTTTTATCTATAAAATTTTACAAT